GGGGTTGGTCCTGCTTTGAGCAGGGGGTTGGACTAGATACCTCCTGAGGTCCCTTCCAACCCTGATAGTCTATGATTTCCAGGGGCCCCTTGGCACTTGGGGGGAGCTGCCCAGGCCTAGCCAAGGGAGTGGTTCTGGGTGCCACATACCCCCTGGTGCGCCCTGGGCGTACCAGCCCTGGGCAGTGGGTGCGGGAGGTCTCTGGGGATTCATCTCATGTCATCCCCCTGCAGGCTCCACCGGCTTCGTCAGCAACCTGCGCACCTTCCTGTGGATCCGGGTGCAGCAGTTCACCAACCGGGAGGTGCAGGTGCGTCTCTTCGCCCACCTGCACGGCCTGTCCCTGCGCTGGCACCTGGGGCGCAAGACGGGCGAGGTGCTGCGCAGCGTGGACAGGGGCACCAGCAGCGTCAACAGCCTGCTCAGGTACCGCGGGGGACGGGGGGGCTCCCCGAGGGGTCCGGCTACCAGGGGAACCTCCTGCGGCCTCACCTCCAAAGCCCCTGCCCTGCCCAGCAGGGTCGCCAGTCCCAGGAGCGGGGCTGACCCGGGCGGGGGTGAGAAGGGGATGGTGCAAGGGGGATAAGGTGGGGGCAGGGCTATGGGGCAGAAGGAGAGGTGGGGGGTGAGGGTGGGTCAGAGTGGGGGAAGGGGGAGATGGGCAGGGCAGAGGGACTGGTAGGGGGTGGGGATGAGGCTGTGGGGTGGGCAGGGCTGTGGGGTGTGGGGGGGAGGTAGATCGGGGTGGGGGGATGGGGCGGACAGAGGAGGTGGGGGGTGGCCAGGGCCATGGGGTGTGGGGGGGAGGTGGATCGGGGTGGGGGAAGGGGCGGGCAGAGGAGGTAGGGGGTGGCCAGGGCCATGGGGCAGCAGGGGAAGGGGGTAGGGATGGGCAGGGCAGAGTGACCCTGGACTGACGTGAGCCTTCCTGTCCCCCTCACCCTCCCACAGCTACATCATCTTCAGCATCTTCCCCACCATCGCTGACATCGTCATCGGCATCATCTACTTCAGCTCGGCCTTCAGCCTCTGGTTCGGGCTCATCATCTTCGTCTGCATGGGCCTCTACCTGACGTGCGTGCGGGGGGGGGTGTTTGGCGCGGCCCCGGCAGGGGGG